CTAGCCCCCACTGAGATCCAGCCAAGGACCAGGCCCTCTCACCCTAAACCCCAAACCCGAAACCCTAAACCCCAAACCCGAAACCCTAAACCCTAAACCCCACCCTAAACCCTAATATCTTCACCCGAGCACCGCAGGGCTCTACGAGCCTTAGCCTTTGACCCTGAACCCCGACTTGCCCTAAACCCTAAACCCTAAACCCTAAACCCTAAACCCTAAACCCTAAACCCTAAACCCTAAACCCTAAACCCTAAACCCTAAACCCTAAACCCTAAACCCTAAACCCTAAACCCTAAACCCTAAACCCTAAACCCTAACACTAAACCCTAAACCCTAAACCCTAAACCCTAAACCCTAAACCCTAAACCCTAAACCCTAAACCCTAAACCCTAAACCCTAAACCCTAAACCCTAAACCCTAAACCCTAAACCCTAAACCCTAAACCCTAACCCTAAACCCTAAACCCTAAACCGTGCATCCTTGCGCCCAGGAGTCAAGACGGCCCCGCCAGCGCATGCCACATCCTTGCAAGGCCCAGGGCCTTGCGGTTTAGGGTGTAGGGTTTAGGGTTTAGGGTTTGGGGTTTAGGGCTTAGGGTTTAGGGTTTAGGGTTTAGGGGACCCGTCGATCTCGTCGCAGCGCCTCTTGCAGGGTTCAAAAAAACACGACTTAGATGCCTTCCTCCAAGCCCCATGAGGGCATTGGCGGGATAAAGGGCAATCCTGATTTTTTTTCAGAGGCATCATGTCAAGGGAGTCATCTCAGCAGCCCGACCTCTATCAACTCCTTAGAACGATTTTCGCATCTGCATTTATACCTGGTGTAAAATTACAAGGGGATGCAAAGAGTATTGTCATTATGTTAAGGTTCTAAGGGGAGTATGTAGACCTTGAGAAACTTCAGAGATTTCCTCCGGCATAGGGACTCAGTCAGATACTCTTGATTTCAGAGCATGGAGCACCTTCACGATGCTGAGGACGTGTGCACACCAGTCAGCAACAGACCCTCAGAACAGCCCTAGGCCCTACCCTAAGAATCCATGTACCTACATAGTATAGACTTGAGCCCTAAAGCTACAACACAGGAATCCAGGAACCCCCCTTAAAGCCCAAGTATATGCTATACAGGCACGGTTACAGCCCCGAAATCCCTAACCCTAAGCCCTAAGCCCTAAACCCTAAACCCTAAACCCTGAACCCCAAACCCCAAACCTCAAACCCCAAACCCTAAACACTGGAAGGCCATGGTGTTGCGGCAGCCGTTGGCTTGGAGCCCAACCCTGAGCCGAACCACCACTACCACCACCATCACCATGGAGGAGGTTTTAGGGTTTAGGGTTTAGGGTTTAGGGTTTAGGGTTTAGGGCCAGGGTTTAGGGTTTAGGGTTTAGGGTTTAGGGTCGCCTTCCTGAGCCCAAAGGATCCGCATACCTGTATGGTATACACTCGGGCTTTCAAGGGGTTGCTATGTAGTAGCTTTCGGGCCGAAGTATATACGATGTAGGTACATTGATCCTGAGGGGAGTAGTTAGGATTTCGGGTTTAGAGTTTAGGGTTTAGTTCTCGAAGTTAGGATTGTTGTTGGGCGGGGTCCTGTTTGTCGGGGAACAGCCTAGCACGGCGAATGACCTAAGTACTTCCCTGAACCCTGAACCCTGAACCCTAAACCCTAAACCCTAAGCCCTAAACCCTAAACCCTAAGCCAGTCGACCTCTAGCTTCACAGGTCTCCAGCTGAGGCGACTCGTTTTGTACTTTGTGAGGTTGGGTTGGCCATGAGGACTTCCGAAAATCGGGGTACACCTTGTAAACCCCACAAAATACTGTCATGCTCTGACAGGAACCCTCAAAAAGGCCCCCCTATTTTCGGAAAGTGTAAGTCAGGGCTTTCGGCTAAGAATTGCTTGTCTGAATCGCTGGTGTCTTCAAGCCCGAACTATGCTGAGACCTCCCTAAACCCTCAACCCTAAATCCTGAAGCCTAAACATTTTACAAGAGAGCCTCCCCTGAACCTGAACGGTCGAAGCCTTCATCTCCTGCAGTAGCTCGATATAAGCTTAGGGGTCCCCCAAGCTTCCCTCCCAAAACGGGAGCGTTCGGGTTTATATGGTTTAGAGTTTAGGGGTTCCCTACGACTTTGGGTCGTAGGTTCTTTGGGAGCCCCTCCTAAACCCTAAGCCCTAAACCCTAAACCCTAAACCCTAAACCTAGAGTGTCCGAAGTGTCCCTCATGTTCTACAGCCCTGGGAGGCTGGGACCACCATCCGCCAGAGCACTGTGATGAGTACGGCTGCTACGACGACCAGGGAGGCTCTCTCTCTTGGGGTTGATTTTGGGGCTGACAGGGTTCAGGGCTAAACCCTAAACCCTAAACCCTAAACCCTGGTTTAGGGATTTAGGGTTCAGGGGTTTGGGGGTTTGGGGGTTTGAGAGGGCAGCGCTGTGGGCCCTGCGTTTTTGCGCGGCCTTGTTTTAGGCCTTAGAGGGTCCAGGGTTTAGGGTTGCCATCGTGGGACTCTCAATGGTTGCACCCTTCCTTGGGTTTGGGGACCCTTTTTTTAAAATGATCCTCTAAGGGAATTATGGGGCCCATATTAGGAGTACATGCAGGGCACCTTGTAGGGGCACATCCCTATAGCTATATCCCCCTTGGGAATTATTCTTTATTTTTGTTTATATAAAACCCAAGAAAATATTAAAAATAATATTTTTATTAAGGTTCTAAGGGGAGTATAGATAGGGGTCCGAGTTAGACTCCCTTGATAAAAAGCGCTGAAGCCCATGAGGCAGTCCACTCCGAGACGAGGGGGGGAGTGATGTCTCCAAACCTTTCGCCAAAAGGCACACCAGTTACCCATCCTTCTTCTGCGCCTCATGCAAAGTAAGTCTGTATCATAGTTTGTATATATATATATACATGTATATGTATGTATACATAGTACAGACAATACACACATGCGTATTCGTTAACGCATTCATGTGAAGTTGTGCAGGTGGCCTGCCGACGGCTTGCTTTGAGGGTAGTTTCATGGCCCCTTAGTATGGGCCCAACAAAGGGAACCCTTATATACCCCGCATAGACCCCATAGAACCCAAGGGCATGCAAGTACACCAAGGGTGCACCTAGCACACCCTAAATTCCAAAGGAACCAAAAAGACTTGGAGGCTACTGGGACGCGACGACTGGCGGCTACTGGGATGAGAAGGGCCAGTATTGGGAGGAAGGCGCACACCGAAATGGCTTGCTTAAGGACTCATCGGTAGAAATGGGTCCCTTCGCACCGAAGCCCTAAACCTAAAAAGCTCTGACACTAAGGTTGAGGGTTTCGGGCTTAGGGCCGGACTCTGTGTTCGAACTGCTGCGCACTATCCGGCCTGCCATCTCGAGCATGCCGGCCTTTGCGGCACATGCGTTGAAACATCGAGAAGGATCCCAACACAAGCAACATGCAGACATGGCAGATAAAGCTGCTTGTGACTGCACGCCCTCAGTCAGTTTAAAGTATATAGTCCCTAGAAACAAAAGTAGCCCCTTAATAACCCGTACATCACGCCTAAGGTCCCTTGTAAGGGTCCCTCCTTTAGTTGCTGAGTCAGCTTCACATATTTCAGGCTGGTGTTTAACCTCAATTTGAGATGGTCCCTTGAGGACCAGATGAACCATTTAACTGGGGTCATATACCTCACACCACTGCAGCGCCGATGAAGGTGTATGAACCATAACCCCTAATCCCTAAATCTTTTCCGGTTCATTTGGGTCTCCAGGCACTGGGAATTTGATGGTAAAACTTCCTTCCAGTCCAGGGCGTGGTGATATACAGACATGAGGCTGCGAGCTTCGCAAAAGGGGCTGAGGGGTGCAACGGCGAGAAGTCCGAGCGACAAGAAGGAGCACTTGGAAGCCCAGCGGTGCCCTTTTTGGACTTCTTTGATTTCTGGGCTCCCTCACAAAGTAGCCAAAGAACCCTAAACCCGAAACCCTAATCCCTAGACCCTGAACCCTAAACCCTAAACCCTAACCCCAAAGCCCTCGATGAAGGCATGAAGGGCTACTGGGATCCCAGCGGCAATTACTACAAGTGCCTCGGATGGCTCCCAGAGGGTGGAGTTGCGGGGAGCCTAGAGTTTAGGGTTTAGGGTTTAGGGTTTAGGGTTTAGGGTTTAGGGTTTGCCCCGGGTAGGAGCTTGGGATTCTTACACGCGTATATTCATAGCAGACATACACCGATGTGAAAAAAACATGTGGTTGTGAACGAGTCGCATCTTTCTCGCCGATATGGGGCGGGGTTTGCGAAGGCCGTCGTTTCTGAGAGGATGTTAATGGTGCCAACCTAGGTGGGTATATAATACACGTGCCGCTGCCCAACCTAGCCCTAAACCCTAGACCGTAAACCCCAGTCCATGGTCAGAGGCAGGGCATGGCAATGGGGGGACCTGCGGAGCTTTTCCAACACTGAAACGGAAGGCATTGAACTCCCCAAGGGTCCATGCACCTATATAGTGTAGGGTTCGGGGTTTATCTAATGTAGGGTTCGGGGTTTAGGGTTTAGGGTTTAGGAGTTTTTCTGTAACCCTAAGGATCCATGTACCTTTAGAGACTATCTACTTGGGCCTGGAAGGGGTTCCTATATAGTAGCTTTAGGGCCCAAGTATATACCATGTAGGTACACGGATCCTTAGGGACCCAAAGCCCCACACAATGTGACCTGAGTGTCAGCTGGGCGGGAACCCCAAACCCCAAACCCCAAACCCTAAACCCTAAACCCTAAACCCCAAACCCCAAACCCCAAACCCCAAACCCCAAACCCCAAACCCTAAACCCTAAACCCTAAACCCCAAACCCCAAACCCCAAGCCCTCAACTCGACCTGAAACACCTGCGCTGCGAGGAGTTGAGCACTGAGGTTCCTTTTGCATTGAGCGGGGCTGAGAGATGGGCTCATGGCAGCATTTGGCTCAAGTCTGTTTAAGAACCCTGGCCCAGCCTCCCGTTGTCAGAGGAG